ATAAACTTTAATTTCTATTACAAAAGTACACGAACTTTCAACATTCTTTCACCGGTGGTCCAATAGGCGGTTTCTAGGTCACCTTCAGGTCATTTGGGATCAAATTATAATTTTATAAATTTAAATTTTTTATTTTGACCCCACCCTTCCCTCCCTTTTCTCTCTTCCTCTTTCCTAGCTAGCCCCCCCACCCCCACGCACCCATTCTTTCTTCTTTTTCTTCTTCTTCTTCTTCTTCTTCTTCTTCTTCTTCTTCTATGTTCGTGTTTGTATCTGTTATCACTTTGATTTTCACTTTGTTTGTTGTTCGAATGAGATTCTGACTTTATGTTTGATGGATACTGTTGTTATTTTTTTAAAGTTCGCAGATAAATTTGATGATATTTGTCAATGATATGTTGTTTCGATTCAACAATTAATTATCATTCGATCGAATATGCCTATGAACTATTGTTGAATTCGCTGACCAATCTTGCCTAGTTCATATCTAATTTTCAAAATTTCTAACCTAAGGATTTTACGGAATAATTGTTTTCTGATCATGTGAAATTTGGAACTACGCATTCATATTAATCTTGTTGTTGTTTGAAGTGAGTGTGTTGCAGAATTGATAATGTTTGGATGGAGATCATCATATTCTTGGAAAGTGAACATCATATTTTGGACGGAGATCTGATATATCTATGGGTGAAGAAAGAAAAAAGAAATCTTAACCTGGTGGAATATGAATGGCGTCCATGTGAGATTTCTTGATTTTCTTTCTTTGATAAATCCAGAAGCACCCCATGAGCAAGAATATGGTAGCACATAGTGTTATTTTTAATTTAAATTTAAATTTATTTAATTTGTCTATTTTTATTTAAATTTAAATTAAATAAAGAAGAAGAAGAAAGAAAGAATGGGTGCGTGGGGGGTGGGGGGGCTGGCTGGGAAAGAGGAAGAGAGAAAATGGGAGGAAAGGGTGGGGTCAAAATAAAAAATTTAAATTTATAAAATTATAATTTGACCTCAAATGACCTAAAGGTGACCTAAAAACCGCCTATTGGACCACCGGTGAAAGAATGTTGAAAGTTCGTGTACTTTTGTGATAGAAATTAAAGTTTATATACCGAAGTGAAATAATGATGAAAGTTCGTATACCATGGATGAAATTTAATTATCCTGAATATTCACAATGTTCTTTTACACATTCAGGACATCGTAATTTTCATGGACGTGGCTAAGAAGGTTACCGGTAGGGGTGTTCATTGAGCTAAAACTAGACCGGCTCGGATTGAAACAAGACTAGGACTGAATAAAAGACATTTCGTGGACCAAATTTGGGCCTATCAAAGGAAGGACCGGCACAAGATTAGACCGGTAAAACCCAGACCGGACCATAACCGGACTGAATAAATGTAACTTTTTATTTTTTAATTTGATTTTATTTGTTTAATTTAAAGTATTTAATTACACAAAAATATTAATATAATTAATTTTTAATATGTAACATGCACTAACATTGTCAAACACCATTATTTTTAATTTGTTAACAAACTTTAAATAAAATATATCCTTCATCCATCTTACAAATTTTTTTTAGTAATTTTTATTTTACATAGGGAATATTTTTCTTCTTATTGCATTTTACTGTCTGTGATATTTTTTCTATTTTCAATTTATTTTGGTAAGCGGACACATTTTTTTATTGTTTTTGTTCATGATATTTTTTACAATGTTTGTTTTTGTTGATTAGAGGTTCATCAATGATAAAGTACAAACTTAAGTTATACAACGTAGTATTGGTACAAAAGTTTGAAATGTACTTGATCGTTAATATAAATGTATTGTTTATTTTTTCACACTTTTCATATTATAAAATATTTAGATATCATTAGAATTGGTATATTATTTTGATCTGGATATTTTTTAAAAAAATTATGTTAAAACTTAAAAGCATAACATTCGAAAAACATTTAGTATTTAAGTTAATTAAATTTAAGTATAAGAAACAACTTATAAATTCATACTTCCTCCATCCTAAAATCATCTTCCCAATTTCATTTTAGGCCATTTCTAAGGGATTGTAAAATTTGTCTTTAACTTCTAATTTTTCCCTTCCAACTAAAAAAGCAAAAAAAATGAAAAAAAACCTAAACTGGGAATACAGGTAGGAAAAGAGTGTTTTTAGACATGGAGTCCATTCCAAATATTCCTCTCGCATAAAGGACAACATTCAGGGCATTGGCAGCTGCCCTTGGTATGTCCAAATCCATTATTCATCTTTGTATTAAAAAGGGTTTGCTAAGAAGTCATTTCAATGCAGTTAAAAAAATTTTAACAGATGAAAATATGTTGCATAGATTGTAGTTCTGTTTGAATTAATTAAAACCCACTAGCATCCCATGTAACCCAAGTTTAAAAGTTTTCAAAATATTCTACACATGGATGAGAAATGGTTTTTCATGTCCAAAACATCACAGAAATATTACCTAACCAATGATGAAATGGATCCCTACAGAACATGTAATTCTAAGTGCTTCATTACAATGTGTTGTTGGTAGACCATTAATATAAGACAATGGAGATGTTTTATGGGGAGAGAAAAAATGGGGAGGCAGAGGTTTTAGAACTGAAACAACTTCTGAGCGTCACCAAAGAAGTGACTAAAGAAATGCTGGTGAACCACGTAATCCCTTCAATTAGGGAGAAATTGCCTTTTAGTTTAGACAGAAACATAGTACTCCAGCAACATAATGTAAAGCCACACATTTTTGCCACAAACCCAGAGTTTATGGCAGCAACAACTATGAATGAGTTCAACATCATCCTACGTAGCCAACGCCCTAACTCCTCAGACCTCAACATTCTAGGCTTGGGTTTTTTAGAGCCATCTAATCACTCAAAAAGAATACTGCTCCTAAAAATGTGGCACAACTAGTAGAAGCATTTAAGGGTGCATATGCAGCACTTACAACAGAAACATTGAACAAGGTATGGTTGAGCTACCAACATGTGATGCACGAAGTCATGAATAATGAGGGAGGAAACAAGTACAAGCTAGCACATATGACAAAGGATATATTAGCTAGAGAAGGAGCACTGCCAATCACTCTAAATGTGCCCCAAACACTGCTCGAGAAGACATTAAGTGTGCTGGCTCACAGGAAAGTGTAAAATGAAGAGAAAGTATTACCTAAGTTCACGGCTCAAGATGGAGAGAACTTCTCATCTTCATAGATAAACTAAGTATTTATCATAACACCAAGGCTTTTTGTGTGAATGATTAGGTACATTTTTTTGGGTTTTGAATATTATTGTAAAGCAACATGTAAGTAGTAAAAAGTTTGAAAGTAAGCCCTTGACTTTTTTGTTCAACATCAAGGAAACTACTCCAAATGTACTCTATTCGCTTTTCTTTTACTATCACTCACATTATGTACCTTAATGAACTAATTGAATTAGACAAATAAATTGCATATTCATCATTGTTGTGTTTGTGCTATATATAAGTGTGTGCAATTACACATGAAAATGCAAAGATTAAAGAAAGAGTAACTTCACTTCCCACTCTCAGTGAGGAATCAAGCCTAGAATCGCATGGGCCACACCAACCCCCTCATCGGTGACACTGGAGTGGCTTCCCATCTCAACACCTGGCTGCTCTTCATTCGATTCGCTTACAAAGCTTCACATCTGCTCATCCTCCATCTCGTTTTCCTCGTATTGGCTATTGGTGATGACTAAGCCAACTTCAAAGCTAGCCTCGTCTGATTTGCTCTCTCCCTCTTCATTGTCTAAGGGATCAATCTTTTCTCTCTCTCCGTTCTCAAAGCTCCAATCTTCGGAGTTCATCCATTGAAAATGAAGCTCAGTCTCAGGGATCTGGGATTCATAATGAAAATCAGCAGAATCCATATGAAGGTGGGGGATGAAGACTAGATCGATCTAGAGTTTTATAAGAGAAAATTTACAGAGACACGAAGAGAATGTGAGATAGAGAGGGGGCGAGAAGGAGAGACACAAAGGCGACAAGAAGGAGAGACGCAAAGATGACGAGAAGGAGAGACATAGAGAAGGGCGAAGATCTAGATTAGGGAGAGGAGGAGAAGAGTGGATATAAGGTTGTGGTGACGTAAATGTGGAGATAAAGTGGTGGTTGGCGTAAAAAATAAAGGTGAAGGTATTCTAGTCATTACACATCCCTTTTTAGTGTTTGGGAAGATAATTTTAGGGTAGAAACAAGAGAAGTGGGAAGATGATTTTAAGACAGAGGGAGTTACAAAATTATATAGAAAAATTATTTAAAGAAATAAAATCTAACCGGTCCACTGATCTAGACCAAATGGGATCGCACCGAAGACCGAATAAAATAATAAGATATGAATTTATTACATATAAAAAATAACATTAAAAATTACAATGATAGGAGAACCAATACTTAATTCACCAAAGACTTTCTCCTCTCAGCCTTTTGCACAACAAAAGCAACTCTTTAACTTAGAAAAGGACCTTTCTTTCGTCTAATAATCTAACACAGGAAGAGATAAATAGTAGAAATCACAAGCAAGGATGAGAGGACAAAAGTGTATTACCGAAAGGGTGATGATAGGAACACCCTTTAAAAGTTAGCTTTGCTTCGTAGCTTTGTGCTTTGGAAATAAGCGGAGCTTAAAAACATACTCTGCGTGCAATGTTCACTATGAACTGAATTGAGTTGGATTACCGATCGAACTGGATAAGATTGGTGGTCTCAAATGGTATCTATTTTCGTTAGGAAGATCTGACCGGTTAGGATCGGTTTAAAAAAAATTAGTTCAATCCAAACTTCTAGTATAATGGTCTTTTCAAAAGGCGATATTAGCGAGACCAATTAAGAAAATGATTGAAAAAATTTAAAAAAAGATAGAAAATATTTTAGGCCCGGCAAAATATCAAGAGTTAGAGCAAATCCAATGGGTCTTGTATATTGTAAAAAATACATTATATACAAGACCCTATAGCAAAATTGTCACTCCAATGGGTAGGGCAAAATTAACACTATATTGTAAAAAGCAAGTCTCACCTTGTATTAATACACTACATGCTTTTCCCATCTTGTAAATTCATTTTTTCTATATATTTATTAAAATACATTTATATTTCTTGTTTTTTTTTGAACAAAAAGCACAACTTTATTACCACCTCAAAGTACGAATACAACCAACAAACCAAAAGTCTATCTCAAAACAACATTTTTTAGACGATAATTAATAAACGACCTCATTTGAAATTTTATCCATTCTATGCTTTCCTCAACAGATATCAATTTCTCCTGCTTAATCTTGAAATTACGAGCCTTCCACACGGCATAGCAAACAGCAGCAAAGCCAGCAATCATTATCTGTCTCTTCCTTCTTCCTTTAATACTCTCACTTGCTCTCTTCAAGTCCGCATCGTTCTTGGCCTTCCATTGGACTCCAATCCAATTCTCTATTTCTTCCTTGATACCCAGAGTATATGCACAGCCATAAAACAAGTGCTCCTTATCCTCCACTCCATTGCTACACAACACACAACCAGTGTCAATATTCAAGAGTTTTTGTAATCTCACCTTGATGCTGATTCTATTCTTCCATCCAAGCCACATTAACACTTGGTGTCTGGGAATAGTTAACCTATTCCACACAATAGAGAATTCAGGATATGCAATGGCCTCACCCATGAGCCATTTGTACCCCAACTGGGTTTCATACTCACCCTTCATGTCCATATTTGCAAATAGCTTCCTATTATGTACGAGCTTCCTCAAGTAATAGCACATACCAAATTTTGGTTGGATAGTTTGAAATGCATGTACCATAAAAATTTTAAAAATATAAATATTATTACAAATAAATATTTTAAAAATAATAATATATATAAAAAGTGTATTATTTAAGAGAAATGATTGGAGGAGCTATGAAAAAATGAAATGCTAAAACACATTTAGTAGTGTAAAATACAATATACAATATCCTCAATGGGATCTCATCTTGGATTGGTGATAAGAGGCCAAGGGTTTCTTGTTCCCAATCTGTCTCTCCTTTTTCCGAGGGAGTCCTAATTCCATCTCGATTTCTTCTTTTCTTCTCCGTCCCTTTCCCTTCTCTTCTTTGGCAGGAGGCGAAGAGGGAAGAAGCTTGTCTATCTATTAAAAAAAATTGTATTATCTGTAATATATCCTTTTTATTCACGTCGGCGGCGATGGTGACAGGTGGTGGGTCTCCGTCAGCCGTCGCTAATTTTGTCTTGACGCCGGAGGAGAAGGAGGTGGCTCCTCCTGCCACTCCTGCTTACATGTCGATGGTCGATCCATTCCTCGTGGAGGCTCTTCAAAACCCTCGTCATCGCCTCACCAGTGAGTAATCCTCCTCAAAGATTCTTTTTTTGTTTTGTCTTTTCTCGTCCCCCCTTATCGATTGGTTGTTCTGTTGGTGCTTGATTTGATCTGGTACAGTTGGACACCGCTGAATCGTTTTGTGTACAGATGTAAAATTGTATGAATTGACTGTTGGATCTAACAGGAAGAAAGAAATTGGAATCTTTAGTCACTCTTTACCTCAAACATACATGATTTTGTTTCCCTCTAAGTCGTTAACTTTCAATTGTTCAGTGGAATTAACTGAATTGTGTTCTTCCGATAGGTTTCAGATGATTGTTTTCTTCAATTTTTAGGCAACACTTGTCGGTTCACTGTTTTATCTATTTTAATCAAATCCACCGCCATCATATTTTTGTAGCATTTTGTAAGGCCCCTTTGGGGCAGTTCAATAGCACTTCATTTTAATTCTATTTGATTCAGCTCAATACCTGCAAGTTCAATTCATACCACTTTAAGAAAAAATGTTAAGATGTGAATAGTGCATCCTTCGAATTGATTTTAAAGAGAAACAAGGATGATCAGACATTCCTTACCAAAAAAGAAATTGACTTTCATTTGGGGAGGATAAAAATATTTTTATTATTATTATTTTGGGATGGAGAGAGTACTAATTATAATAATCCATCCCAAAATAAACTTTTCACTTTCTATTTTTTGGTTGTCCCAAAAGAAACTTCTCATTCCTTTTTATGGAATGAATTGTGTGGTCCACATTAATTCTCTCTCCTTTGCATAAATCTCAATCAAATAATTTCACTTTTACTTTAAAGTTAATACCTGCGAAAAAGTAAAAGGAAAGTTTAATTTGGGATGGAGGGAAAAATAATTATAAACTCACATAATTATAAATTTAAGTATGACTGTATGAGCGTCAATGATTCAAAACAAAAAGTAAGAATAATTTTTTCCCTAGGGTTGTTGATTAATACTTTAATTATAATTGGCATTAATGATAATAATAATATTATTGTTATTTTTTAAGTAAACATACTTTTTTTTCAGCGTAGTACCTATAAGTTCAGTTAACACCTGTTCCGTACCTATGAGTTTTGATGAGTTCAGTTTTGTACCTATAAATTTGGATTAGTTCAATTCAATTAATAAGTACATTTGAATTTAGTTCAGATAAGCTCTATTGAACACGGCCCCTTAGTGGAAGTGGCCATTGCAGTTGACTTATTTGATTTGATTTAAATTGTTTCTTGCCATCTTGGTGCATTACATAGTATTACGTTTTAATAATTTGTTTCTTGTGACAATTCCTCAGTTCTTCGCATGGAGCTCGATGTTCAGAAGTTTCTGCAAAATCCAAATTTGGAGCAGTTTGAGTTTCCACACCTCCCTACTTCATACCTCCGTCTTGCAGCACACCGAGTTGCTCAGCATTATGGACTGCTGACTATGGTGGACAATGTTGTTGATGGCCAGGGAACTCGTATTATGGTTAAGAAAAAGGTTGACACTAAATACCCAATACTATGTTTGTCAGATGTCCCACCTAAACAATCAGACCTTGACAAAGCGGACCAAATTAAAATTGTATTACGACAAAGGCCTAGCAGTGGTTCAAAAGGACACAGTGGTGATTCGGGAACCAAAAACAGTGTTGCTAGAACTGTGGAAGAAAGGAAGGAGGAATATGACAAGGCAAGGGCACGCATCTTTAACAGTCCAAACAGTGCTGAAACAGAAGATTCATTAGTTCACGGTGGTTCTGATGAGAAGGACAACATAGATGAAAGTGAATATATAAGGAGTTCCGTTCTGGATTGTGAGAAAAATCTACACACCAGGGAAAATAGATCTTCTTCCAGGGTGGCCATTTTTAGGGACAGGGAGAAGGATCTTACTGATCCCGATTATGACCGAAGTTACGATAGGTATGCTAATTCTTTGTTTTCTCATTTTATATTTGTGATAATTTTTCTCCAATTTTATATTTATTGAAATTTATTTCAATGCTGTTAAATGGTTTTCAGTTTCTAAAAGAAAGAGAAGTATTCTGTTTTTAAGGAAATGTTTTCAAACACTTCATTTTCTTATTGGTTTTTTATATAATTAGCTTATGCAATTGTAGTGATAATTAACATTTTTTTGCCTAAATGAACACTTTTGGAGCCACTTAAACTCATAATCCAAAAGGAGGTTGCTGCCTACTCATAATCCACTTAAACTGATAATGACTTCTACACTTTTTTCATAACTAGAGTTGTTTAATGTTATTAATCAGGGACAATTATGTCTCTACTCATTAATTAAGCATTCAAGCATTTTTTGTCTGCAAATGCTCAATATCAATTACGAAAAAAGTACACTTAAATCTGCAAATATACTTCTAATTTTACTTAAATAGTCAATTACCATTAATCCCACATATGCTATAGGAGAAACTTGTGTTTTGGAAAAATTTTCTGCCAGTTTCGTAATGGTGAATCGGGTTGCGTTGAATTAAGAAAAAATATTGAAAATATATTTTATTGATAAACTAAATAAATATATTTAAAAATAATAGCTGATTAGATAAAATACAGAAACAAAATGGCTGATAAGATAAAATAGTGGCTATTAAATGGTCACGTAGGTTCACTATTTTTTGGCAAAGATTCACTGTTTTTTGGCTTTGGGGTACGATGGAATAAAGCAAATTGGCTCTTTAAATTGTCAGCGCTTCTTGCAATTGTAGAGTAGCAGTTAGTCAATGCAACTTTCGACGCTCATCATGGCTCATCTGGAAACAGCCGCTCTATGTTTTAAACATAGGGGTTAGACTGCGTACATCCGAACCCCCTTACCCCACAATGGGTGGGAGCCGTTGAGGCACTGGGGTAATGTTGTTGTAGGTTTTTTTTTCCCACCAAAAGTGTTGAGTAGTGGTTTTTTCATTCTACTTTTTGGCTTAGATTGCATTGTGGCTGAACTTTTGTATTGCTCATCCAAGCGATTTTTTGTGTTCAAACAATGCAGATATGTTAGGAGTATTCCAGCCAATCCTAGCTTTAATATGACACCTCTCGGTGTCCACAAGTTCCAGCTTCCATATGTGCAATATGAATCTGCCTTTCATCTGCCCGGTCAGATTCCTACGGCTCATGCTTCATTAAACTATAGGAACCCTACACTGAACCCTTACTTTGCGGTGGGATTAAATGAAATGACCAATGATGCTGCCAACCTGCAATGGCATACTCAGTCAATGATGTATGCACATTCATATGAGCAACTTAGACACACTGGTTTTCAGGTACTTTCCAGTTTCATATATCTACTGCACTTCTTTCTACCCAGCAAATCCATTGACTCGTCATGGAGCGGTCTTTTGTTTTGTTAATGGAAAGTTCTCCATTTTGTCGGGTCAACCCAATGAAATAAATATTTATAATTTGCTGACCTGTTTGAAAAATATCCATAACATAATCTACTATTCATTAAATTTCATAGAAGAGCTAAATGATTTCAAAGAGAATGCCTAACATGCATGTCTAGACAATGACATCCATCTTCACAGCAAGCACACACAAACTAGCATGTATGTGAACATGCAAGAAGTTCCTTTGTCTGGATTTGATGGGTGATGCATGTTTTAATAAATTACTCCATTTGTCTGAATTCATTTGTCCGTTTTTCATTATTGGCAAACAATTTATGGTTAATTATCTATAATATTTTCTAGATAGCTTATTAGCATTGTTGAACGCAACGAATGGTAAACTCATTTAAAGGAGTTATTTTGGGACATTCCAAAAAGGAGAGTGTGAAGATTAATGTGGGATGTAGGATCTATTTTAATAAATGTATTGACAATAAGTTGTTAAGTGCTGAACTGAAAATAAGCTAATAATAAGACACCCAATAAAATTCATTTGTCATCCACATGAATGGCACCTTAACCCACGTTACAGTTAATATGAGATTCAGCGTCAATCTAATCGTCTAAAATGTGTTAATCGCTTTATAATTCATATACTTCTTTGTGAGTGAGTCATCATATCATATGATATGCAGTCTGTATTTACAGAATTATTGGCTGACAACAGCCAACCACAACTGTGTTCAAACCATAAGATGTGCCCATAGTAATTTATTAATCAAGTCGCTGACTATGTAAATTGTTGTTATGCCTTTTCATGGTTTAATATAATTTATTTTAGTAATTGTGTCCGCTTGACATTAGCTTTAGTGTTTATTTAGCCTTTTTAAATAGCTATTCATCCGTAGTCTTAAAACTCTTACGCTAATTACAAACTTTTTCCCAAACAAATGATTTTGCAATTGGTCTGTTTGTCAGGGTTGAGCCGCATATTCTATTAGGCAAGTATAACAATCTTTATGAGCTCGTTCTCTTGGACTTATTTTTTTTACAGACTTAAGACTCCATGCTCTGGATTTCTTTTATAAATTGGACTAAATTAAGACTTTTGCTCCAGGCTTCGAACTCTAGACTCCTAAAAAGAATAAGCTCTAGAGAACGAACCCGATATAGATATGTTTGGTTTAATAAGTGGTTTATTATTACTGATGGCATGTTAATGACTATCACAAACATTAACGCTCCTGTCTAACAAAGTTTTCCAACTTTGGTTTTTTTATTCGTTCCAAAATAATTTTTCCACTTTTTTGTCTTTCCCTTTGGAAAAAGGATATGTGGTCCAAAATATTTTTCCAAATTCTAACCGCTCAATATTCTCTTTTTAACATGATTCAACACATAATCTCCCTGAAATCAAAGCGGGAAAACTAATTTGGGACAGCAAGAACCTGTGTGGGTGGAAGTTGTGCAGAGAAATAAGATGCCACCAAAAAGTTTTCCATAAACAGAAAGTGCGACTTACTGCGTACTTGGGTTACTTAATTATTTTTAAAATTTTGTTACAGGTCCCCTTCTGCCAGCAACCTCTAAGTTTTGATTACTTTCAACACCATTGTTGACTACCAAGTACTTGGTTCTATTTCCCATTATATGAGATTGTCTGTATCACTAATTCTGAATGTGTACTGTTTTGTCAATCATTAGTGTTATGTTATTTTAGGACACCATTGTAAAAGACAGATAAGCTGGTACTGATCTATTCTCTTTTGCACTTGTTTTTGGGGTTCTCTGAAAGAATGTAGTTGATACTTTTTATGGTTGATTATATATGGCACCAGTATCTCTCTCATGAATCATTTTTTTGCACCTACTATGTTTCCTAGAGTATTTTCATCGTCCAAATGTCCAATATTTAGCTCTTGCTCTCTCTAGTAAACTTCGTCTTATAACACCTTATAACTTTTTGTTTGCAATTCTAGACGTGTATTTTGGGTGGTGCAATCGGAGTGGGTGCGGTGGTGTGTGAGCGATGGACTGGGCTCTGGGGTTCACGCGGCTAGGAATCGTTAATTTTGGGATTGGAGCACCATTTAGGGGCGCCAATTGAGTTGGTGCCACAATCTTACACCAATTTAATAGCGGAGATTACCTATTAAATTTAAGATCCACCATGGACCTACATATGAGTAAAATAAGAATTTTTTTACTAATTAAAAAAGCTTTCATTTTTTTAATAAAAAAATAAAAAAAGTTTTTTTTTATGTGAGAAGGTCCTCAAAATCACCCTATAATGTAAAATACCAACACAAGTGTTCATAGTGTTAACTCTTTTATTTAGGAAATGAAAGAATAGTTGACCGTATAAGTATATATATTTTAGTCTCAGTTACAATATTGTCCCTAATTATGATATGGAGGGCTTTTGTAGTAAGCTTTTTTTTCATCCATTTTTTCCGCTTTGCGTTTTATTTTAGAGTTTAGGAGATGCTATATTCTACGGAGTACTCCGTATAATATAAAGGGTTTGAAAGTTAAAATGCCAAAAAAGATGCTCCAAGAGAGCTTTTAAAAAATAGAGTACTTCACTTTAAAAGATACATCCTATATATTGAATTCTTGATAATTTTGGTTTATTTTTGTGTTTCTATTGATAATTTGATACAATAAATTATTTTTGTTGCCCCTTATTTTGTTTTTTATTAAAACTTTTTACGTAAGTTGTATGGGACAATGGGAGTAACAGATACAATCACACTCTATCCATTACAATTTCATCGTTCTGGACAATATTTGAAACATTTTTTTTACCTTAAACGCCAAAGACTTTTTGGTCAAATTGACAATGCTATGGCTCTCATGAATGGTACCACATTAAGAAGTACACTTATTCTGTAAGTGAAAAAAAGTACACCTAAGAAGTACACTTACGAAGTACACCTAGATGGAGTACGTATCTATTACCTATTCTATAATTTTTTCAATCTTTTTATTCGATCTCATTGTTAGGTGTTGCTATAACTAGTTTCGTTAAAGAATTGCAATCAGGTATCACTTTTTTTACATGAGATACTCAATAAATATTGCGGAGTACATCCATCCCAAGATAAACTTTAATTTTTTTTAGACTTGCCTTAAAATAGTCTTTAGACTGCTCCAATTTTCTATAAAAAAATGTTAACCACACACCATTTACGTACTTTTTAACACTTTTTTAAAATTAAACTTGGTAAAAATAAAGTATCAAGCACCTTCAAGTCTTTGGGACGGGATTGGAGCGCGCTATCTACTCAGTCAAGAAGCAGGTTAATTGCTTCATTTTGCCTTGTTCTCGATCAAGATTCTGAGATGACTTTTAAACCATATTAATGATATTTTGCCTTGCTCTCAAGATTCTCAAATGACAAAAATGGTTGCACTACTTGCATTCTCTTGGTTGAAGAGTGAGGATTGCATGGATGTCCTTATCGAGAACTGTTTAGCAAAAGCTTAACAAACTTTTGATATGACTACCGAAGACTCTGGTTCGTTATACTTTCTTTTTGGTCGGTTTGTATTTCTCATGTTCAACGTGAGTTGAATGGTGATGCCTATGTCTTAACTAAATGGGCAAATTCTGATGTTTGGGGTTATTATACCACCCTAAACTTTGCAAGTAAAACTTCTTTTACGGGTCTGTTCATTAGGACTTGAACTCTTAACTTCCAATTTCTTAGTTCCTTCCAGTTTCTTCCAGTTCTTCCAGTTCCTTCCAGTTTCTTCCAGTTTCTTCCCGTTCCTTCCAGTTCCTTCTAGTTTCTTCCAACTTTTCTCATTTTCTTCAAATTTTTTCTACTCCTCAACCAATTACTCTAAAAATGATATAATTCAATGTTATTATTATTGTTATTATTATTATTACTACTACTACTATTATTATTATTATTATTATTACAACTGTTTTATACTGTTATATTCATAACTATAGTTTATAAATTATTTTTTTCATCTCACTATTTTTACGATTCACACTTATTATTATTTTTTTCTTCAACTTTTTAATATGAATAAGACATTTTTTTGTATACTAGTCTACATGATAAAACATGAAAACATCAATATGTTAAATTATACTAAAAAATTATGGATAAGATAGTTACATTGAATGTTTTATTAATATAACTTTTTATAAGACATCTCATTTTTTCCTTTATTACTTAAAATTGCTCATTTTTCTAATTTTTATAAAAAAAAATTATAAGTCAAAAGAGCTTAGAGAAAAAGACTAAAATATGAGTAAAACATAAAAAATGTAAACAAAAAAGTTTATGTCTTTATTTCAAAAATAGGAATTCAATGAAAATAAAATGTTAATCATGAAAGAAACGTGATGATGATGATGATGATGATGATGATGATAATAATAATAATAATAATAATAATTTATAACAACAAGAATTTAAAATAAATATTTTTAAAGTTTTTTTATGTTTTCCAGTTTTTTCCAATTTCTTTCAGTTTTTTCCAGTTTTTTCCAGTTCCTTCCCGTTCTTCCAGTTCCTTCCAATTTCTACCAGTTTTTTCCAGTTTTTTCCAGTTCCTTCCAGTTTTTTCCAGTTTCTTCCAACATCCAGCTCTTTTTTTCCAGTCCTAAAGAACAGGCCCTAAATAGGAGCAACTAAGTTTTTTCCAATTAATAGGACTTCTTTCGGGAGGCTCTTCCATTTTTACTCCTGAATTAGAACTCCCGTTTTTTATTTTTCATTTATGGGTTTCTTTACTTTATTAGGATTTAATGAATCATTTATTACTCCTAAACTTTAGGGAATGAAAAAATTCCAATTCATCGACCCATCTTCCCCTTTTTTATCCTTTTTATTTAGAAATTTTATTTTTTACTTTAACATGCCGATTTCAATTATGGTGTACTTTTATCTTTAATTTCATTTGTATGAAAACTAAACTAAAATTTTAAAGTATAAAATTTATACATCTAAAAAAATCAAAAGTTCTAAAAATAAAAGGTGACCACAATAACTTAGTACATACGGAGTATAAATAATTTGATATAATTAACTTTTATTAAGTTCTTGTTGGTCTCCGTTATATTTTAATTTAAATACTTTATTCGTCTTAAAATTAATTTCTTATTTGACTTTTCACAATCTTTAATGCAACACATTAATCGTTAATATTTTTATTTATATATAAATATATACCAAAAAATAAAAAAAAATAAAAACTATGTTTTAAAATGAATATATTAATTTTAAATTTATATGAGAAATCAATGTAATTTTTCAAATTATATACGATCAAAATTCAAAAAAATTGACTAAGAAAGTCAAATTGGAAAGCCAATTTTAGAACGGAGAAAGTAACATTTCTTATTTCATTGTCCTTCCATAAACTATTGTAGACATTATACACCACAGTGTGAGTATTACAATGTGTCCTTATTTTAATCATAATAGTTACACCAACTGGTTTCTTTAAATTTCAAGTTATTGACGAAGATGAGAGATCCTTTGTAGTTAATTTTAGAGATAGAACATGTACTTGAAATATTCCCAAATAAGGCATACATATATTCTTGATATATTTCTATAATAACTTCCATATTCTTAGCATAATGTCTTAATCTTACATATTGTGTGCATCGTCATTATGGTTTATGTTATTTTAAATTTCTCCATTGGCCTTTACAGCGTCATTCACATTTATTTATAGATTAATGTCCTTTCTTGATTGTTATATGGTCCTTGTATGTTAGATTCATCTGAATACCACCATAATGTCCTTGTCTTCAATGTTAATGTCCATGTGCACGGGTATAATCACAGCCACCAATATCTCCATTGGCCTTTACGTACAACGTCCTTCACATTTTATTTATAGATTAATGTCCTCCTTTCTTGATTGGTATATGGTCCTTGTATGTTAGATTCATCTGCATACCACCATAATGTCCTTGTCTTCAATGTTAATGTCCATCTGCGTGGGTATAATCCCAGCCACAAATGTCTTCATTGGCCTTTACCGCATCCTTCACATTTAATTTAGAAATTAATGTCTTCCTTTCTTGATTCCTATATGGTCCTTGTATGTTATTTTCATCTGAATACCACCATAATGTCCTTATCTTTAATGTTAATGTCCATCTGCGCGGGTATAATCGTAGCCACCAATGTCTCCATTGGCCTTTACAGTGTCCTTCACATTTAATTTATAGATTAATGTTCTCATTTCTTGATTGTTATATGGTCCTTGTATGTTATATTTATCTGCATACCACTATAATGTCCTTGTCTTCAATGTTAATGTCCATCTGCACGGGTATTATCGCAGCCACCAATGTCTCATTGATGTGTGTCAAGTTGGAACGACAAACATATATACTACAAACACATTTTTGTAGAGCTTGTACAATACCATTAGATAATACAATAAAATGTTTGAACACTACATATATAAATTTTATTTTTAAAATTACCAAAACTTTTCATATTAATTAAATTATAAATATATTAAGCCAATTGTCCTAATACGCGACACAAAATCTTTTTTGGAATGTGAGAGTAGATTTATAGTACGAAGTAATTAACAATTGTGAATGATTGCAATGTTAGTGACAAATTTAAGACTACTATTAGTCCGTTGAATTCATACATAAAAATCTAAAGTAAAATTTGCTGCAAATAAGACTAAAAGATATTACTTTTCCCTAAAAAAGACCCTTTTATTTTTTTAAGACTGAAATTTGCTCCTATACCCATCTTTGCCCTTCTTATATCATGCTCATGATCTCATGCTTTCCTTCCATTTTTAATTTTTAATTTTCTTTACATTTTTGAAGATAATATCAAACATTTAATTCTCCTATTTTTTAGGCTGTAATTTCTACATATTCTACCCTATTAACTGCCACTCCTCCACTCCATTGACAATCTCTAAACACACTGTACTCAACCACTTCATTGACATCCATATGTAATCAATAATGGCCTTATACTTGGATTAAAAAAAATAATGTCTTTATACCCCTAATTGAAATTTGCACTAAATATGACTAAAATATCTTTTTTATTCTCTAAATAGGACTTAATAATGACTAGTGAAAAGAATAATGTCCAAGTGTTGCTGGACATTTAGTTGAATAATGACTAATAGTTAATGACCAAATGTCCTACATTAAAAAATGAAAACATATGCTCCTATATTGAGAAAGTCATTATATTTTTATCCTATTTAGGTAAAATATATATATATATATAGAATTTGGTTAATGTGAGAATGTAATCTTATGAAAGAAATGAGAATAAATTCTGATCATTACATCTAGCCGTGATTTCTTTCAACTAAGCCCATAAATACTTTTTGTATAGGGACATTTTTGACAAATGTTATTCCACGCCTAATCATTCCAATCCTTACCTATTTTCCAGCCTCACCACATATTCTGTTTCCTTATATGCAATTAAACATCACGGTCTTAATTCAAATCACTCTTTACAATTTATATGGAAGCAGTCAATATTCAATCTTTTTTACGATTCAAATTACACATTCATAAAATCACCATGTTTGTTCTAATTTTAAAATTACGGAGTATATGTTTTAGTATTCTTTCTATGTTTCTTTTTTAGTGTGTTATGTGATTCTTGTAATCTAAGAAAAATTAGTACGGTGATTCTATGTTAAAGATTTACTGGGGTAATTTTTTTGTTTCGATTAAAAATTGCATTCGGCGAATATGGATTCAAGTACAAAAATAATTTTTTTTCTCAAATAAATTAAACTTGCTTTTGAATGCAATTATCTGGTTTAGTATTTTCCTTCGGAAAAAGTTTATTACTCACTATGTCTCAAATATGCCTTATGAGTTTGAGTATTGTGCATCAGTTCATGAATGGGGTTTTTTTTAAAATCTTAGCTTCTAAACGAAAATAGCAATTTTGAATTTTATGTTAAAGTTTCCATTTTGTGAATATGTTTTGCGTTGTTGTAAAAGTTATTGTGCATGGATTTATGTTATTGTGCATTATTGGGACATAAGCAATGCACTTAAATAAAAAGACAATGCATCATTAGAAATAAAGAAAAGGATATAATAAATTCTGTTAATGTGCATTTTCAAAACCAAAGTAAAATTTTTCTATCATATTATATGGTGAAAATTTGATGCATCTATATATTCTAGACGGTGATTTTCTTGCAAACAACGGTGCATTTTAAAATGTTTTATGATGCACCTGAATAAGGGTTAGAAAAATGTTGAATTATGGATATTTCAAAAGATATTTTGTGTATTTAATATGTCTTAGTACAAGATGATAGTCTCTTTGAAAAAATAAATCGTTGCCTATAAGCTCAAATGGTAGAGCACGATATGTACTCGGTTCTGGGTTCAATTCCACATAGGCATATTATTTCACAAATCGTAATTGAACTTACAAATACTAAAAATTCCTAGGTCTTCTCATCAAAAATAAAGTCACTCAAGAGTCATTATTCATTGATTCACAAATTAGTAGAATAAAATCTAAATAAAATCTAAAAGGCAAACAAATGAATCACAGTGCATTTGTCGACCATCACAGTGCATTCGTATTAGATCTATAAATGTGGATACCATAATGCATCTTCCTGAGATAAGAGAATTTGTAACATCCTAAAAACGCCTAAAAATTATATT